GCATCCTTCATCCATTCAAGCTGATGACCCCTCAGGACCCGGGAGACGTGTTTTTCTTTTTCTTTTTAACATGCCCCCACTTTTTTTTTTTAAAAGAGGAGTCCATAAGTTTCAACCAGCCAGTCTGTCAAAACAGTGCAACTCCAAGGCTGGAAGATAAAACTAATCTGTCCACCTCGCTGTGCCCAAGCTCTGTTTGCATTGTGATACCAAAAAGATAACACATTTCATAGTAGGCTTTGCCCTGATCACATGCTGCCTACTGAACTTCTCCAAAAACAGTAAAAGCATAAAGGAATTTACACAATTATTTTATACACAGAGGGTGCTCCATTGCCAAAACACCCTAAAACACCATGTAAAAAAGAGGGGGCCAGTCTTGGATGTTGTCAGTAACAGCCCTAGCCGGGTTTTCAACACAAGCAGCATTGAGCAGTGGGCAAACGTTCACAGGTCTTCCAGTGCTCTTGAGATATTTTGAACTTCATTGCACATCAGTCCCCAGCCATCATGGTGGATGGCCCAGGAAGGTGGGAATTGTAGTCCAAAACATCTGGAGGACAGCAGGTTGCCTACCCTGTTTGTCTTTAAAGACACACATGCCTGGGTGCTCTCTTGGCCTGGGCACTTATCCTGCTCTGCCTGGACTGGAAAGTGGGTCAGGGTGAGTCCTCCCCAGCTTAGGGTCCTCCAGATGTTTTGGACCACGGCCCCCTCCAGCCCAAGCCAGCATCACTACAAGCCAGGGCTGCTGGCAAGTATAGTCCAAAGCACATGGAGATTGCCAGGCTGGGGAAGGAAGTCACTGGGCCACTTGGAAGCCTCTCTAATTTTCGACCCAGGGTTTAGGGTGCAATTGTCTATGTGTCCGGACAGAGAAAAAAAAGTAGTGCCAAGTTCCCAGCATTCTGCAGGGTGCTCAGAATCAAAGGTCCTTTTCCATCTTAAAAGGCACCCTTTTGGAGACACAGGTGTATCACCTGAGTTACAAAACACCCCCAAAACTGTCCTGTTTGCCACCTGCTCCAGCCACCAGTCTGTCCTGTCACTGCATCTATACACCCGTCTGCCGGAAAGAGTGCGAGAGAAACACTGAGCATACGCTGACTCACATGATATCACGGCTATCATAGCAACACCGTGCCCCACATCATGGCAACTACAGGAATAACCGGGAGTTCGTCCGGCCAGAAGCTGCCCCATTCGGCACTGCCTCCCCGACACCCTCGCAGGCCGCTGCCTCCAAGGACCAGCCCTGGCGACAGGAGCAGGTAGAAGGTGGGACTGTGCGGGAGAGAAATGCGTGTGTTAGGGGAGACCAGAGGCGCTGTCAGAAGGCAGCACGGCAGGGTGAGAGCCGCACCCCTTCCCTTCGGAGCCCCGGAGCTGGGAAGGTCGCCGCCACGACACCCCACTGCCCAGGGGTACGTGCTTGGAGGAGAGGGCCAGGGGTCCGGAGAATCTCCGCTGCATCCGATTCCCCTGGCTGAGCTTCTGGCCCACACGGGCTTCACCCGCTCCCCCTCCGCCGGCCCCCGCATCTTCCTGCCTGAGTTTTCCCCTGCTCTGCCCTGGCCACACATCCCTCCTTGCAAAGAGGGTGCCCTGAGGAGACGGGCTCCTTGAGAGACGCGCGCGCAGAGGCATCAGGACGAACGCAAACTTGGCACAAGCAACTTGTGGTCCGCTGGGCCTGCGCCCGGTCCCCAGCACCGCCCCGATCCGCGCAGCCTTTCGGAACTGCCCAGAAGTCTGCCAGCAGCGCCGCGTAACGCGAAGCTTGCGTAAAAGCGGGGCGGCTTCCCCGAGCGCGTCCGACAGTCCCCCGCTCGCCTGCCTCGACGGCACCGCCGCAAGTCTCTCCGGCCGCCCCGACGACTCGCCGTGCGGCGACCCGCGCCCCTCCCGAGCCCCCACCGCGGACTCACCTGGCGCACGGGCGGAGGAGGCGCGCGAAGAGCGCCGCGCCAGGAAGTGCGGCGCTCGGCCCGGCTCGGCTCGCTTCCTCCCTCGCTGGCCCAGGAGAGCCCTCCCTCGGCAGCACCTCCACCTGCCTCGCCGTCCCCGGAGACTCCGCCTCCTCCTCTGCCCTGCCTGGCTCCCTGCGCGGGGTGCGCGTCTCCCACACCTGCCGGGGCTTCCCTGCGCCCGGAGCACTGCGGCCTCTCTGGGGTCGGGGAGCGGGTCCGGGGCTGGGATGGCCACTGCGTGGGAAGCCAGCCCCTCTGCGGTGGGGTGGGAACGCCGCTGCTCTGCCCACTTCCCTGGAAGGATGTCCCGCTAGCATCCCGTCTTGGGCAAGCTGGAGTTGAAGGCCCTTTGCCGTTGCCGAAACTTGCATAGGATTGCCCAACGTATAGCTGGCTGGGAGTTCCAGGCCAGGTGGTTGGGGGATTATGGGACTTGTAGTGGAGCACATCAGGAGGGCACCGGGTTGGGGAAGGCTGACTTAGGGAAAATAGCGGCTATCCTTTGAAGCATCTGGTATCGAAAAGCCATTGGGGTTGCTTTTTCCAGCCGTACGTCTATTCCCATGCGCAAAGCTTGAACAGCGATATTGGAAAGTGACTCGGTTACTTTTTGTGGGGGTGGAGCGGAATGCCATTTTGTTTAACCAAATTGTGTTTTTGCGCCCACACAGACGGCTGCTGAGGCACCCACCTGTGTCCAATCTGTGCACATTTTTGTTTTTGCCGAAAGGAAAGCACAATCTGGGTGGGTGTGTACATGATACAGGGCTTCTGCCTTGTTCCTTTGAGCATGACTGTTGGATAAGCACAACCCCTGCCTTTGAAATGCGTTGTAATTCTCCCACTCCAAAGAAGCCGAAGTGGGAGGGTGATAGATGGCCTTGTCAGATCGATGTGCGTGTTTATGTCTTGCATCTTCACCTGAATTACGATGCAGGGAGGTGTGATGGACGCTTAGGTACCAAATAGGTCCTTCTCAGCAATCACTTGTCTAATTTGTAACTTGCAGCCATGCTATAAAATGCCAGTTTAATTGACTGCGTCAGCTGATTAAAAGCAGCTGCCAGTTTGGATCCTCAGGCCTCCTCGGGAGAGGGAAAGGGCAGATCTGACAACAGAAATCATGGCTCAGGCATCTTCGGAGCAAGTTCTAAGGGCTACAATACTGTACTTACTTGGGACAAAGTGCCTTTGAATTCAGTGGGACTTACTTCTGAGTAGACATGCCTAGGATCGTACTATTCAGGAAACCATTGGTACAATTCCATGGGCCTACACCGAAGAAAAATTTACGGAGTTCAGTATTATTCCCAGTGTTTGTAGCCAGGATGCAGGAACTCTGGCTGGCAGTCTCAGCTGAGCCTCGTGGGGGTTCCCCGAGCAGCCCTGTCCCCTTTCCTAGACTCTGCTTTTGACCGCTGATTCATGGTTCCCTGACTTTTAAACAGCTTTCCTCCCTCTTATAAAAGGTTGATCTGTCTCTCTCAATATTTCACTGCTTGCAGGACACAAGCTATAAACTTAGATGCTGATATTTTTGGGTGGCTCACCACAGACATGTGCCTGCCTCCAGAGAGTTTCTGAAATTGGATTTGGGCCTTGAAAGAGGTTCAATCCCTGCAAGCGCAGCCTTGGCTAATATTCAACTTTATTACTAATAAAGCCAATTATTTATTAGTCATTATTATTCAACTAATATTAAAAATGGCAGGGAACTGGTAAGGCAGTTGCAATGGGCAGAGGAAAGGGGAGATTTCTCCCCGTCAGTCAAAGGGAAATAGGATGTTGGTCGTCATTGGCTCTTAGAAATTGACATATGTTGGAGTGAATGGTATGGCAAAACATAGCGCTGTCTGATGCATTCATTTCCTGCCCACCGCCCCCAATATCGGGAAGCGAAAAGAAAAAGATGATGGGCACAGACGAATTTGAGCCAGGACGTACCGAAGGCGCACACATTAAATATCGCCTCAACACCGTGCATCACTCAATGGATTTTAATGTTGGTAGTTAAGTTGGACTGTTGGAAATGCAATTGCATTATTATGCTGTTATTGATTTTCCCCCATATAATTCATAGTAAAAAAATAAATAGGTTTAGAGGTATGGAGAATTTTTATGGGCTCCTTTATGAGCATTTCTAACCACGGCAAAGCTGCTAGAAGATTTACAACCTAACCAAACCCTATGCTGCATCCGAAGTCCAACTAGGCCAGCATTCTGGTCACATGGTGGCCAACCGGCCGCCCACAGGAAGCCCCCAAACTGGGCCAGGGTGCAGCAGTCCTCTCCTATCCATGCTGCTCAGCAAGAGGCAGACCTAGGCACACTGTCCCTGATCTCGGAGGCCGCGTATGACCATCAGGACTAGCAACTGTGGACAGCCTTATCCATCATGACCTTGCCTAATCTAAAAGAAGAAAAAGTCATCTAACTTGGTGGCCGGCTGTACATCCTGCGGTGGCTGATTTCACAGCTGAACTGGGCGCTGAGGTGCGGTTGATGTAACACGTGAGTAGATTCTCACAAACCACTGTCCAGGAAGACCTCCAGTAAAGATGCCCCACTGTCAGAAACTGAGTGAAGAGGTATTACTAAACCCACGCATTAAGCTTAAAGCATGCACAAGGAGCTTAATTAAGCAACCCAAAGCCCTTCCACGAACACACTGCAATTCCTTTATTTTTCAGTAAATTTGTCCTGCGTTTATTCACTGCAAAGAAGCCCTGTCCTGTTCAATGGGGGGTAATCCTGGCCGAGAGCGCACAGAAGGGTGCGACAGTATTGATGTCTGTTCGAGTGGAAGGACATTGGGGCTTACACTCAAGAAAAGTGCAGCGTTAAGTGCCACTTACCTCTCCCACTCAAATCACGTGACACCTGTGCCCCCACACCCTCTAAGCCCAAAACCAGGTGCCTTCTTAAGTTTTTTGATCGCTTGGCACTCAGGGGAAGGAGCCCCAGAGACTCCGCTTGTCCTCATCTTGAACATCATGCGTGGACTCGAAGGACAACACGTGAGGATCAGAATTGAGATTTTGTGAGGCTGTTTACTGGGTTACCATACAGACAGTTTGGAAAGTCACGGATTCCCATAAGAAACTCAGTCCTGTTATGTGTGAATTCTTCCCAAATGATTCGCATCTGGACAGCCCCCTATTTTTTCCATGCTCAAAATGATGATAAAAAGGAAGATGCTTTTTAGAAAGTGTGTCTACGTGGCAAAGCCATACAGTTCACATCCAAAAATGAAGTCTAGGCAAAAGAGCCAAAGTCCGCTTCAGGCAGAGGGAGACGACAAACGCAAACGGGGTCGTGTCTTCAGTGGGGGAACCCTGAATTCACCACACCCGGCACTGGCAGATCAGCTCTTGCAAAGCTCGGATCCCCGCGAGGCTTTTGTCCTTCAAGGCCATGGCCAGGAGCACGGGCTTGTTCCCAGCTTCTTGGGACACGGCCGCCCCCAGATGTTTTGCGCAGATGTGAATAAGGGGCTGAAAAGAAACAGGCATTCAGTTGCTCTGAGAAAGCAGTGCCCCAGTCTTTACCACGTTGGCCCAGCTCCCACCCAACGGTCTTGCCATGTCATGGGATGATTGTGTACAGGTGGCTCTTCATTTGCCAAAAGTCTCACTTCCAGAATCTACACCCTCCAGCCCAGCTGATTCTTTCCCTCCACCTCATTTCCAAAGGCCACATCCTAAACCACCTGCAGCCCAAAGGCCAAGTTTAATTTTGGAGACGCGCGGAACCCACATTCCGGGGTGGGACAGACCGTGCAAGAGCAGCGTGGCCAAGATACCAGCACATTTTAAGTTAATGCTCTTACCGCAGGAGGGAAAGAATAGCCACCTACCTCATCTTTACCCAGCAGTACTTTTGTCGTAAGTAAGGGGGAGCTGATGCTGTCCGGCCCCGCAGTGGGCTCCACCGAGACAAGGGTCCCCATCTTCCCGTACTGCGTCACCACCACGAGGATCGTGTTCTCGAAGGCTGTACACACCACCTCCGTCAGGATGCCCCCCACCATCTCTTCGGCCTGCTTCGAGGCCAGTACAGATGTGGCAGCCATGGCTGCGGCTTTTCACTGCAACGGAAGCTTTCGATCACTAATTCCACCCAAACTGATAAATGGTTGCGCGACAGCTTCCAAGTTCCCTTTTCATGCTTAGATTTTTTAAAAAAGCCCATGGCTGGTTCGGGCATGCTGGGAGTTATAGGGCTTTTCTCTCTCCATGCTTGCTGTGGCATGCTGGGAGCTGGAGGCCATCCCCCCCCCACCCCCCGCCATGCTGGCTGAGGATGCTGGGAGCTGAAGGGCTCCTGCCTGGCCAAAACATGCCCAGGATTGCGCCCTAAATAAAATGATTTAAAAAGTGAACAGAAAACGGAACGTGTTGCCTTCACAAATGTGCATGCGCTACATTACACGTGCCCGGAGGTGCGTGCGTGCGCGCGCGTCTTTCGAGAGCCGGGTCTCCTATCTGCAGAAGGGTCGCACGGGCAGCGGAGAGGATGTCGCTCCGGGTCGCGAAGCCACGAGGGCGCAGAGCTGCAGGGCCGGGGCAGCAGCGGGGGAAGCTGTTTCCGGGCAGCGAGAGCCGGCTCACGGATGCGGCCGCGCCCGCCGCGGCTCCGGGCCTGCCTTTCGTTCAGCGCCCCTGGCCGGCGAACGGCGGGGCAGCGGCCCCGGCGGAGACCCGGGGCTCCAGCCCCCGCACCTCTCCTCCGCCGCCGCGGCGACCCTCCGGAGCGCCGCTGTCTCCGCTCGCGCGCAGACCTGGCTCGAGAAGGCGCGCGCGCGCCCGCCCGGAACTGGGGAGCGCGCGCGCGCCCGCGGCCCTTCGGCTTGGGGCACGCAGCTTCCCGCCCTCCCGGCGCGACGCGCCGAGGCGAGGGCCGGCCCGCTCGCCCGCGATCGCTCACCCCAGCCGCGCTCGGCCGCCCTTCCCCAGGGTTGCAGCCCCTTCTCTCCGCCTCCTCCGGTGGCGTCTTTCCTCCGCTGGGCGGGGCGCAGGAAGCGTGAGAGGCGAGGTGCCCCTGAGCATGCACAGAGCGCCCCCTCGCTGGCCCGGCACCGGGGGCGTGCTGTGCGGCGCTGTTTCGGGAGGGGCGCTCGCTTGCCGCGGAGGCGGGCGGCAAAGTGCGCAGCTTCGCCCCAGCATCGGGCAGAAGGGGCGCTGCGTCTGTGCCTCTTCGGCCTGCCGGGCGGGCCTCTGTTCGAGCTGCGGAGGGGGCTTGTGCGTGCAGTGATGTTCCATGGACCTAGGGCCATCAACAACATACCCTACAGGAGGAGAAGGTATAGAAGGAAGATATACCATATACTCTATATGGGTATAGAGAGATGCATTAAAAAATCAGTTACGATAATGCGAATAAATATTTCTTGCTCGCTTTTCAGGGCACCAGCTGACCCAGGGTGGCGTACAACAATGCAGCTCTCAACATAAAAGCCGACACAGTAATCAAAAAGTAAAAAATAATGCATTCTATGTTTATGGAATGAAATCAGGCAATGCCCAGCAGAAAGCAGCTGGCCCTCTTGCTCAGCACTTAACAGAGGAAGTGTTGAAATTGCGCGGTGTATACTATCAACTGTGCTGAGACACCAGCACCCTGTGGCTCGTCTGAACTGTTCCCATTCAACCCGGGCTTTATAAGCACCCTATAACTTAAAAAAAAAAAAAAAAGGTGTCTACATCTGTTTGTGTTTCTCATCCCTCCCCATTTCTTCTTCCTCTTGTGTGATTTCTTAGCTTGTAAATGGACAGGCAGGCCCTATCTTGTCATTAGTCTTATATGAGCCACTTAGAACTGCTCTAGCTGAAGAGTTTGACCAAAGTGTTTAAGGTGAATAATGGTACTGGCTTTTATAAAATTATACACATGTACAACATTTCTATAAAAGGCAAGGAGCTTACAGCTGAACCATGGCATGGAGGAGATAGGAGAAGGAATGCAGGATGAAGGTGGTGGGGGATAGAGGAAAACAGCTGGGTAGGAAAAAAAAAATGGAGTGGGAAACGGTGAAGGGAACATGCGGCAAGGAACAAAATATATGTACATAAATGAGGTTACAATCCTGCAGCCATCTACTTAGAAGCGTTCAATCCTTGGATTGCACTGTTCATCTCAACTAGCATACATCTGCATATGAGAAAAACATTTCCATGTATTAATCAGGAATACTTTTTTTAGTTGACTGAAAGGTTTTCAACTGATTAATATCACCAATTAATCAACCAAACATAGCAGTTGTAATTTAAATGTAATTGCTTTAAGGAAAGATAATACACTCTCTCATGGCTCTTTTATATATTAACTCCTCTCATTTTCTCCCCTTCCTGAAAATGACAGACCTTTAATTTCTTCATTAAACCGTTTACAAGAACACCATTTATACACTATGCTTTCAGAGTTTGAAAAAAATGTTTAGAATATTTTAAAAACACAAAAGTAATGCAAAATGAAATACAGCTGAAGTAATATAGAAGAAAGAGAGCAGGATGGACCACCTATGGAGTTCCTGGGAGAAAACACTGCACATCCCCGGAGCCACCACTAAGAAGGCTCTGCTCCTAACAATTAGCAGATTTCTCTGGTGCAGGATTTCATGGCAGATCATAAGGAAAAGATGCTCCTTGACCCTTCCTAATGATTTTGGACTGCAATTCCCATCAGTCCCAGCAGCAGGGCTAGTGTTCAGAGATTATGCATGTTGGAGGCGAGCTGCATTTGAGCAACCATTAATTCCCGACAGGTAGCAGCTTCACTTGGGTCTGGATTAGCAAGTGGTAATGTGCGCAGGTGTTTTAAAAGAGCTTGTAATGCGTTCTCTCCCTTCCCTTGAAGAAACTGGTTTTGGTAGAGGAAACTTACGGCTGCAGTTCCTCCAGAGGGCAGCAGAGTTCCATAGAAAGGAGGTTCCCTCAGGTGTCCTTTCTTAAAGGAATGTGAGAAAGGGGCAAGTTCTCTTCTGCTGCCTGCATGGCCAATCTCCTCTTTCTCTTGCGGCATGAAGCCCCCTTCATCCTGGTGCTTCTTACAGACACTCGGGCAAATGTCCCTGTTTGGCACAGATAATGGCTCTGGGTGTCAGTAAAACTCTCTTGCCCACCTGAAAAAGAACAAACCATGACAACTTTGGTGGATCCCTTTTTCTTCATCCTAGAGGAGCCTGCTCTGCTTCTTGCTGCTCATGTGCTGTCGGATTTGGGGAGATGCGGTAGATGGTCCAGGGTGGCCAGTGTCCCGAAGGAGAGTGCAGATGGGCCACAGCCCAAGGTGGGAGCACAGGCCTGGCAGCACCAAGTGAAGGCTTGGTTGGGCACTTGCCAGGGGCCCAGCAGGTTCCCACTGAGAAGAGCCCTGCACTAGCACAGCTGCCTGGCTCGAGGGATGTCAGAGAGGCGAGCTGAGCTTTCCGTGATTCTGGCCTGGGCCTGCACAGACTGATTTGAAAAGGCAAACAGAACTAAGCCTTGGAGAGAGACTGGGGCGAGTGGAACGAGGCGAAATCTGCAAAACCCAAGCTGAATGGACTGAACTAACTGCACATCACCAGCTAGTTCACCCACCGGTTGCTCTTGCCCGGACAAAGGAGACGGAGGGGTGGGAGACACCACTCTTTCCTTGCTGGCTCTCTGCCTGAGCAAGAGGTGGCCGCGATGGGAAAGGGAAGGCGGAGCACCTGCAGCGGGAGGGCACGTGCTGCGACGGTGGGCGCCCTGGCGGGCAGGGGGCCTTGTCCGAGGCCCCCAAGCCTGGAGCCAGTGCGGGGACAGAGGCAGCCCGGCCTTCGCTCTTGGAGGTTCAGAAGAAACTAAAGGGTTCCTGGCGGGTGAGGGTTCACCGTCACGCGCTACCTGGCGATGCCGGGGATGGAGCCTGCATCCATCGGGCAGCAGAGCCAAGGGAGAGGAGAACAGCAGGCCCTGTCCCATCACCAGCTGCCTCAGGCCGCCCCTCAAACATCACCATCGGGCTCCCTGGACCGTTTTTCATGATTGTCGTGAGAATCGGGGCCCGAGCTTGGCTGTGCATTTCCTTCTTCCTCCCCATTCCTGTTTCCTTGTGTGTCGTGTCTTTCAGGTGGTAGGTCACCTGGAGGGCTGGGAATGTCTTACTACTGTGCCTCGTCAAGTTGCCACGGAGAACTTTTGGGCGAATCAGTGGAGTAAACATATTTGACCTGAGTGAGCCAAAGACCTTTCCACAGGGAGCCCACACCATGCCGTTGCGTTACGCCCCCTCCGGCTGCAATGAAAAGCATCTCCAATCAAAGGGCGATAGCAGCCCCAGCAGGTTTTCAGCCCTGTTATTTATTTTGGCAAGGGAGATTTTTCTTACCCACCCCTTGGTGCATTGCTGCTGCTGCTTCCTCCTCCTCCTCCTCCTCTTTACAGAAAGCACTTTAAGGTTTCAGTATTGTTATTCCAGAACGGGATGAGCTCGGGAAAGGCGGAGGTCATTTCCAGTGATCGATACAGCCCGCACTTTGTGAGGAGCCAACCCAGCACGCCCCCGGGATCTCTTGCGAGGTGGAAATATTTTCTCCTTCTGTAGAAAACTATAAGCTTTGCGGTTCAGAGTGGCCATTAACGATCGCCGCTTGTGGGGGAATTGCACTATCAAAGTGTCTGGTCAGTTTATTAGTTTACAGGTTATTACTTCCATGTGCCGTGCTTGATCGTTTTCAATGTTTGTTTTGTCGGCGGCAGAAATCTAGTTATTTTTTATTTTGATTTATAGCTGGCTGCGCCCCTCAGGACTCGGACCCGCTAGCAACAATCTTGGGTATGAAGGATTTCTGATGCCAAAGGTGTCTCAGGAAGTTGAAGAAAGGCTTTTATTTGAAAGAACCTACGTGGGGGGAGAGAAGGACGGCTGTTCCAGGGCCCAAGTTCAGAGCCTTGGTTGCAGGGGCAGGGAAACGATGACTATGCCTCCAGTTAACTCAAACCAGCTCCAGGGTTTGGCGGGCTCGTCGGCAGGGCCTCCCCGGCTCCCTTGTGACTCTCCCTTCTCAGCACCTGCTTGGGCTCTGCGCCCACTTTCTCGGCATAGCTACCCCTTTCTTGCTCGACAGGCAAGGGCTGGTGTGGAAGGAGGCAGGGCACCGGCACCGGGCCAGAGCAGGAGGCAGGGAGCAGTTCCAGCGGAGGAGAGGAAGAGCAACGCCGGGGGGCCCTTGCTAGTGGGCCCCTGCTGGAGCATGGGACATCGTCAGCTGCCCAGTCATACCTACTCTTGACCCTGGCCTTTGGGTTCACGCTGACCCTCTGCGCCGCAATTTCAGTTTAACTAGGAGTGGTTCTACAGTTAACTCAGGAACAGAGACCTGTGCAGTTCCAGGCCCTTCAGCTGCACTTGCATTTTCAATCGATCAACAGTGGGGTGATAACTCGAGCCGAACAAACCAAAGATTGCCATCAGCTCCTGTAAGTGCTCTCCAGGCTAGGCTAGATGGATGCAGCCTCGGCCATGCGGTGGTGGCTGCTGAGCCAAGCACACTGAATCTCAAGCACACTGAGATTCTTGGACAGGCGACTCCCGTGCCCGTTACCACATATTGCATTCCCTGCTCCATGCTCCTGCACAACTGCAGCATGCTTCTAGTCCTCATTATCAGTGCAGACTGGTTTCTCTGTCTCTTGAAAACCTCTATGCATAGACCAGGTGCAAGATTTTGTTCAGCTCATTTCCATTGTGAAGCTTCCAGGACCACATCTGGGCAGGGCAAAAATATTAGCCTATTTCTGCTTCAAGGATCTGCCCATGGGTAGGGCCTTTAAACTTCAGACTGAAACGCAGGCTGGAGACACAGCCAGTGACATCGGCACGACTAACCACAATCGCGCCTATCCCAGGACACCTTCCTAAACCACAGGGCAAACACCCCCACGGCTTGCCACACCTCCTGTCCTCTGCCTCGTGGAAAGCCCTGCCGGAGGGCCTGCAGCGGCATCATGGCAGAGCTGGCCCGGGCACGGCGCGGAGGGGCAGAGGTGGGCAGGACTGCCATGGGCACGTCAAGGGAAGGCACAGTTCATTTGTGCCTGCCCAGTTTTTTAAGCACCTCGTGGGAAGCAGGTATCTGCAGCACACAAACAGCTGCAGATGTGCAGTGAGAAGGCCCAGATCCCGGTTCAGGGGAGGAGGGGTCCACCTGCTTTTGCCAGGGCTGCGCTTCCCCAGAAACCGGTGGGGCAGGTGCACGGAGGTGTGGGGGGGCCACGACTGCACAGTGGCTCCTCAGTGCCGTGATTGTGGCCAACCGCAAGGCCTGCCTGCCTGTGTTTTGCATTCAGGAAATCCGGAAGAGAGGCCCTGGAGCTGGAGCTGTGAGTCATGCTGTTTTGTTATGTAGAGTTCGGCTTCGTCTGCTCTAGTCGCTCTAGTCACAGAGGAACAATGAGCAATAATTAGGAAATGGATTGTTCCAAGCATCTGGAACATGAATTAGTGAATCACGCATTCTTGTCTAGGAGGTGGGCTGCGACTGGTTTACAGGCAGACCAGCAGTTTCCCTTGTTTGAATTTGGCTGCAGCTCTATTTAGTTGTGGGCTGGTGTTTAACTCCTCTCAAGCCGAATCGAAACATAGGGGAAAAAGGGAGCCAGAAGGGGTCTCCTGGGCCATCTAGTCTGACCCCTGGCTTCAGCCAGCTCCGCTCATGTAATCCCCAACATGTGGATGTCCAGTCTTTGACAGCCACATGAATACCTCCTTTTGGCTGGCTTGGGAGAGAGTCAGCTGCATTTCTTTCAGCTCACTTTGACCCAACCCTTAAGAATGCTGCAAGATGCTTTTGCAGGGGCGGGCAGAAGGTTGATCTCTGATGTTTGGAACTTTAGTTCCCAGAAATCACAGCCAGGTTGGCCGAAGGTCAGGAATGCTGGGAGTTGAAGTACAAAACACCTGCAGAGCTACTTTCTGCTGACCTGAGTTTATTGGAATTGCACCCCCCAAACTTATACATGAACTGGCTGGCAGTTGCCAACCAAAACCAGAACTGGGCAAATCAGAATTCCCAGGTCAGATGCTCCCAAAAACACAACCATTACGAAAAAGTGGGCAATCATTTGTAGAAGGTGTGTACTAGGAGAAATATCCGTGGACATGAATATGGGTTTTCATGCTGTCATTTTCTCCCAAGATCTGTATTGCAACCAGACCTGGAAATGGATTGAACTGAACTTAGAGTCAGGGAAATCAGGGAGGGAAGGTACAATTCTATGCCTGTTTAGACAAAAAAATCCTGCAGCTCCCAGCATGCCTCAGCCAGCCTACGGGGAGACGTCCTACAACTCGC